CATTTGCAACCAAAGACTCGAAGATGGGAGAGGTTTGGCTTTCTTCCTTTGTATAATTCATATGGGGTTTTCATGAGTATCGGTCTAATGACGGCTCGGTTTAACACGTAGCTCGCGGTACTCACGGCATCCGCCCAAAAATACTTAGGAATTTTTGCCTCATCAAGCATAGTTCTAGCCATCTCCTCGAGACAACGATTTTTACGTTCCACCACTCCATTTTGTTGTGGTGTACGTGGAGCGGAGAAGTTATGCTCGATGCCTAGTTCGTCACAAAACTCGGTAAAGAGATCTCGTTCGAACTCTCCACCATGATCGCTTCGTATGGCTACGGTGGTTAAGCCTTTTTCATTTTGAACCTTTTTGAGAAAAGTTTTGAAAACATGAAATGCCTCACTTTTATGAGTTAGAAATAATGTCCATGTGAATCGAGAGTAGTCATCAACGATCACAAAGGCGAAATAGTTTCCCCCAAAACTTTTTGTTCTTGATGGTCCAAAGAGATCCATGTGCAAAAGTTGTAGGGGCCTTGTTGTAGACACAACATTTTTCGATTTAAATGAGGCCCTTACTTGCTTGCCCTTTTGACATGAATCACAAATGGTGTCCTTCTCAAACTTGAGTTTCGGAAGACCAACTACTAAGTCTTGTGAAACCAATTTATTCAAAAGGTTCATGTTGATATGAGCTACTCTACGATGCCATAGCCACATATCGTCCTCCTTACTCATGAGACATTTGGCAAAGTCGGAGGGAGATTCATCTAAGTTAACCATGTAAATATTATCAATTCTATCACCACGAAGAATCGTCTTATTGTCAGTAAGACGTTCTACCGTACATGATTTAGAATCGAAGGTCACACGATTTCCCTTGTCACACAATTGACTTATGCTCAAGAGATTGTGTTTAAGACCCTTTACCAACAAAACATTATCAATGGAGGAGGTTTCGTTTTTACCAACCGAACCAATGCCGATTATCTTGCCTTTGCTATTATCGCCAAAGACAACATTTCCTCCTTTAGTTGGTTTGATTTGCAAGAACTTGGATGCATCTCCGGTCATGTGCTTGGAGCATCCGCTATCAAGGTACCAAAGTACTGTTGGGAAAAATATTATAGATTTTGATGATGATGTATTTAGAATGTATTAAGGACTTTAGGTCTCCCCAAATATTCAATGTAATTTTTCTTTTTAGAAATACTGTCAAAACCGAGCACTTGAGATTTCCAATAAAAGCTATGATATATCTTTAAGCGTTTTGATGCCTGAAGACTTAATCAAATTCAGTGATATGGAAATCGGATATCTTGTTCGGAAATGTCAGAGACAAGTAAGGATTTTCTCAAGCA